GTTTCTGAGGTGGAAACGAAACTTTACTGTCTATACGAAATCGGAAGATAAACGATGTCCTGACCCTAAACCTAACCCTTCATAATTGTAAGAAATAAATATTTTTTGGTTAAATTTGTTTGGACTTATTGTACAAACCTATTTAACATCCACTATTTTAACATATCATGTATAGAGTTTAATTCAGTGTTTGCTAGATAAATTTGGTCTAAATTGCCATGAAGCAATTAGGATTTTCTTGCCTGGGATCTTCCTGTTGGTGCCGTAATCAAAATGGCCGATATTTGGATCAGCTGTCAATATTTGCATAAAAAGTCAGATCCGGACCTATTAAAATAATCCATTACTGATGCTTAATAGAGTTAATAGACTATTTTCTATTCAGGTTGTTTGTGCGTTTTGCCTTTTTAATACAGTTTACAATATTATTTGCACTTTTTACTGATACCGTTTCCATTTGTTATTTATCGTTGGATCTTTTTTGTGTTTATCCCTAAAAAAAAAAAACAGGTCATTTTTTTCTTTACCAAACACTGAGTTATTCAAACTCCCCTATCTCAGACGGAGTCAATCCCTGTTCAACATGAGTCTGACAACTAAGTAAGTAGATAAATAACTTTAAACTTTAACACATGCTCTGATAGGCCGGGACATCCCAGGTTTCCTAAGCCCCGCCCCCCTCCTCATAAGCCCAACCCCCTCACCTGGGCACCATGTCCAGCAGCGAGTAAAGTTTTAAATAACTTTAATACATGCTATGGGACACCCCTGGTTTCCTAACCAGAGCCCCCATAAGCCCCGCCCCCTCCTCCTAAACCCCCATAAGCCCCTCCCCCTCCTCGTAAGCCCCGCCCCCTCACCTGGGCACCATGTCCAGCGGCGAGGCGGCGGCGGGCGGCGCTTTGGGCTTCTGACAGTTGGCGGTGGCGGCGTGGGCGAGCTTTAAGGCGGCGGGCGACATGGCGGCGCTCAGCGTGCGCGGGGCGTGCACGCGCTTGGCCGCGGGGACGCCCAGACGCAGCCCGCTGTTGCCTAGCAACACCTGAGTGGCGG